GCAACTTGAAACCTGCTTTGAAGTAAGAAATAGTTATTTAAAAAAATTAATATCATCTTGACTTGCATTCAGTTTCAAGATCCATTTCTCAGCCTCAGAGTTATTTCTCAGATAAACATGAACTCAAAATATAACTGTATCCATCAGAAACCGAGTCTCCGGGCATGGTTCACTGGTTTTCCTTGGAAATGCTGCATCACTCAGGAGCTAGGAATTGGTTAGTGTTGTTGTACCTAAAGAGTTGAGAGGTTTAACTTGTCTATCAATTGAATGCCCTACTTTCTTGCAATTTTTTTCTTTTCAGGAGACATGATAACTTGTATCTATTATATTTGCTACCTAAGTCTATTTGTTGTACACAACTATCTTTTATTGATACACTTTTTGCATTTACTAGATTGATTTCAAAATTGATTTGCAGATCTGCTTTTTGACCATATTAAAAATGATATTTTTAAATATGTTTATATTCATGGAAATAAGTCACTAAAGCATTAATATTTCTTCTATACTATACTGGATTTTATGAATTAAAAGATTTAGAAATCCATTTTTAGATATAGTTCAGGATATTTACATTAACTTTTTTTGAGTTATTCCATTTTTATTGTAAGACCTTTTTAAAAGAAGGTTTACTTCATGTTTTTTATGGCTGATTTATATGGCTTCAGCAACAGAAGTGATCAAATTAATTCATGCTGCATAGATTCACTTGGTCTAAAAACATTGGTTGAATTTACATGAGTTTAGCAATGTGTGCGTTAAAACTGCATTTCCCCAGAATAAAGAGCTGATTTCTCAGACCTTAAAACACACCAGGAGTTAAATACCACTTATCCAGGCAAATAAGAAGTATTTTTGAACCACTACAAAAGCAAAGAATAGACAAATATTATGGTCCAGTGATTCTGATAAATACAAATGATCCAAACCTCCAACCCAGGAATCAAGTCTAAGCAAGGCCCAGCTTCCCCTGAAGTCCCTGGAGAAGAAATTATGGGAATAATTATAATGCCAGAGAAAAGCTTGGCAAGTCAGAGTCTAGGTAGCTTCTCTGGTACAATCTCTTGCAATGAAAAGAAAAAAAAAAAAAAGACTTTATAGCACCTCACACATAGTGTAGGTGAGCCCTGATTTCTTATCTGAACTCTCAAGCCTTTGGCTGCGTGCCCACCTTCAGGGCAGACCCTGACATTTTTTCCATGAAACAGAATGAGGTGATCTGAACCTAAGAGTCTATTTCTTCCCTAGATGCATGTGTACAGTTCCTATTAATTTTAATGAGAATTATGTTTGCACATTGAGGCAGGATAAATCCCTCTGGGAAGAATCTTGCCCTTGGATGCATACTCGTAATTTCCATTAAAGGGACAAAAGCCCAGGGGAGCCATACATGGGTGCCTGAGGGCAAAATCTGACCCTCTGCATAAAACACATGCACAAATCACCAGATCACTTTAGAACTTGTAGATGCTGAGAATGCAAGGGGTAGTGAGCATTTATCTCAGCCTGTGTTCAGATAATGTGGATTTCTCAGTTATGCTACCTTTAATTTAAGATTCTCATGAAGCAGAAATAACTACTAAGCAGTGGAATCCAGTCTTTTGGTTCAGATATTGCTGAAGAACATTAATACATGTGGGATGAACAGTATCATGTATTTTTAAAAGAGAAATAATGTAACATAAGTTGAATAAACAATTGCTGATAATTACACTCCTGAAGAAAGAGACCTACTTTCATACTGTTGCTTCCACAGGGGACATCAAAGATTATGGACAATTTAAGTCTTTTCATCAATGAATCCTGTGTGAAAACTTTTTTAAGTGGCCCCAATATATAATGAATAATCTCAGGGCAGAGATCTGTTTGAAGGAGATATGATTGATGGTCTATCATTCCTAATTCACTGTTTATACTGGTAGCCAGCCTACTGGGAAAATACCTCATTCATCAGGGTATTAGTGAATTCAACCAACGTATGGCACCTTCATTTTAACAAACTAAAGGAGAAAAGCTAAGTGGGGGAAATTGACAACCATCTCTGATTCTATGATAATGCAATTAGGCTGCTCCTCTCCAGAGCTTTTGCTAATTCACAAAACAGCTTCAGTCGGCAGGTCATAAATATATGATCATTTTTCACACTTTGAAAAGTAATGATGCCTTGACATGAATCAATAAATCTTGGTGAAGTCCTTTATACTTTTATGTTCAGCATGCAAGTCAGTTTTAAAACTCGTGTGTATTAAATCTGACTTGCTATCCAGCCTGTGTTTACATAATCTAATTTAACAAAGTCTCAAATAAACGTGTAAATGAAGTGTTTATAGTAAGCACAAGGAAAGTTTCCCTTTCATTGAGAAAGTGTGATATGGTGCATCAAACTATTTTAATTTGCACCCTGGAATACCCATATTTGCAAATGTGCCACATACAGAGAGCTGTTGCTCCTAAAATTTGGTAGTTTCTATATTGAGATTTGCATGTTATGCTCAATAGCTGAATAAAAAAAATTCTACTACATATGACACAGCGTGTGATGCACTATTTATCTACAATGAATCTGCTGCAAAACATCCAGAAAACATTAACCGCTGTCTCCTAGACTCTCCCCCAAAAGAGTCTGCGCATCTTTCTAAAACAATTGCAGGAAAATATGTAGCAAACATGTACGTGTATTAGGTAGCAAATATACACAGCAGCACAACATTTTTCTAGCAATCATAGTCCCACATACTCTACAGGGAATAGAAAGATGGACAGGCTAATGAATACAGCAGGTAGCAAGCAGTTGAGGTTTGCTTAAGAATGAATTATCAAACAGCTACAAATTGCCAATTTAAAGAGGTTATACTACACTGTACATAGCATTTTATTTTTTATTCCTGGAATGGTTGACAATTTTCCTGGATGAAAACTGAAATGATACTAAATCATAAACGTACCCGCTGTGCTGTCATTCCCATTAAACTCCCTCTTTGTTTTGTTTATTCACTGCTCATAGTTGCAAAAAATGATGTGCTTTATAACAGGGTGGACAAAGCAGCATTTTCATTGAAACCTAGGTGACAATATATCTTTATATTAAGAATAAAACAATCGTCGCTTGGCTCATGGGTCTTTCACAGTCATTTGAAATTGTTGATGGGAATAAATAGTGCATAGAAAATTGTTTTTGAAGTGTTTGTGCATTGTGCACAATCTCCATTATTTAATATTTGCTGTGATGAGTAATTGATATGATATACTATCTATAAATAGATTGTGTCTTCACAATACAACATCAAAGGGGATGGAACATCGATTCCGTTGATTGAAATTTCCATTTTGTCTCGAGCTCTGTAAATCTAGCCTTAAGCATACATATTCCCTACAGACATCATGATCCTGAGTGAAAGTAGGCAATGGTTAACACGTTGCAGGTTCACAGTAACTTTCATTCTTCAAAATCAATTATCAAATCACAGACCATCTCATAAAGCCTGGAAAGCCATTCTGAGAATGCTCTTCACATGTTCACAAAGAGACACCCATTGCTACTTGCCAACATACATTATATTCTTCAGATTCATGCCTAACACAATACATGCACCCGTTTTGGATTTCTTAGGGTAAAGGATCCTGGTTTGTTTCCAGGTAAAATTTGCAGTTTCCTCCAAAATCATATTTTCTTTAAAACAGAGTGTGAAAACTGATGTGAAACAGCCTCTCAAATTTACTGGACCAAATCCTGTGTGTTGGCCTATTCCTGACCGTGTGTACTGAAGGGCTGGCATCCCTTTTATGAAAGCTCCTGCAAGGAAAATATTTGGATTAATGATATAATTTAGTGACAATTTAGTGACAGTAGGTCTAACCTCAGCTGAGTGACAATAGAATTGAAAAAGTAAACCAGTGGGATAGACGACACAGTGGCCGTTGGGGCAGCAGCAGGAGGCTGCAGGGGTCACTCTGATTGGCATTGTCACTTTCCCCATTCATCAAGCAAGGCCAGACTTCCCGAATCATTGACCAGATGGGGCAGCTCGTCAGTTTAAACACCTGATATGAAGCCATCCGTCATCTGATAACATGATCGTTGGGCTGCAGCTGGCCAGGCGCTCTGCAGCCCGAGTGCACATGTGATGGACTCAAGCCAGAGAAGCAGGCTTCGCCGGGGTGCCCTCCCTTGATAGGATTTGCAGTCCTCCACTGGACCATGGAACAGGTGGAGGCTGAGGGAGAATGAAAAAATTACCATGTGTTGCAGGGATTAGAGCCTTACACACTCACCACTCCATTTGAATACCAATCAAAGCCGGGCAACTGACCTGAAGTCAGACCAACTTGAGATCTGACCAAAGAACAGAGAATTAGAAGAAATGCAGAAAAAACTGGGAAACCGTTTCCTGCACTAAAGAACAACTTTTCACATGTATAACTACCTACATTTTTTTTTCTCTGAAACCAAACTCTGGAAATATGTTTCTCTAAATCCCAACTTTCTTTTTTTTTTTTTCTTTTAAGAAATAAGCAAAGCAACTTGAGTATTTTTAAAAGAGGGAGGGGGGAAAAGTAATCTCCAAGGAATCATCACAAATCCTGTTATTTTATGCTCACCACGGAGAAAAACTAATGCAACAAAGAGAATCAGACAAAGAGACAAATTATGCGCACTTAAACTGAAAGTGTTTATTGCCATGTGAAATATAATTATGCTGATTTAAAATGTTCACTGCTCAGACAGTCTAGAGCTTATTGGAATAGGGCTAACCTTTCACAGCAAAACAAGGCTTTTGCTGAATTCCACAGGAGCACAAAAATGGGGCCATGCTGAAGGGTGGCTTCGTTTCTCTCTCGTGTGGACCGTTGTGCGAAACCAGCCTTTATTCATCAAAATTAAAATCCCTCAATTGCAGAGTCCATAACTGAGACAACAAGTTAACTAGGAAAGACTTAATCCTCTTATGTCCTTAGTGGAATAATATAAAGAAGTTTATTCTGCTTAGCATGTAACACTCTCATTGTCATAACTCCCAGGGAAGGTCTAGTCTAGCGTATTTGCCAGTCTTTCCCAACATTAAACAAGGTCTTTCTCTTTCTCATGCTCTGTCTCAGATGAGCGGTCTGGTGTCTCCACTCCAAGTGACATGAGTCTCCAGGGAATCCTGCTATGGATATGGCTCTGTGGCTGTGCGAGGGAGGCGTTGTGCTGCTCCAGATTCCACATCTAGTTTCCTGTTTTTTCCCTTGCATCTCTGTTTGGGGTTTTCTGTTCATCTCCCAGGGATGCGTATGGTGACACCTGTCTGCTCCTACTTGGATGGAAACTTTAAATGATTATGGAGCTATACATGAAAAACAAAAAGAGCAAAATTTCCAGCCATCTATATAGATAAGTGGCTTGGTCTTCCTCCTCTTTCTTCATCCTTGTTATTAGAATGTGTTTACATTCTGTGAGTGGAGTTGGTGCATGTACATGACCCATGCTAATTCCTTTTTCATCCCCTTTCCTTCCCTCTCTCCACCTCCTTTCATCTTTTGACCCCCTTCCCATTTGAGAAAGATGTACCCTCCTTTTTCTTATTATATTTTATTTTGCTCTTCATTTATACTTTGGGTTTCTCATGTAAAAGAAACCACCCAATATTCAAACTTGTGTGTCTGATACATTTCACTTAACATTATGGTCTCAAAGTGAATCCTCTTTCTTTCTTTCTTTTTTTCTTTTTTTTTTTTGTACCAGGATTGAGCTCATGACCTTGAGCTTGTTAGGCAAGCATCTGTGTCACTGAGCTAAACCCTTGTCCCTTATTTTCTTAGAAACAACTCAAGTTTATCTTTCTTCATGGCAGAGTAGTGCTCCATTCTGTCTTTATCCATTTTTATAATTAAGTTTTATGACTAAATAGTTAACATTTAAAACTATGAAGTTACTGAGAGGAAATGAGGGCAAAATGGGCAATTAAATAAAATTTAAAGAGTTATACATACAGCAGAGATTTAAGGTGGAGAAGGACTAGATTTTCTCATTTTAGTTCAGGGGCACCCATTGACTTATACCATGATAGTTGCCGTGCCAGGAATTAGAGAGAAAAATGTGTATAAGTCACAGTCCTTCTTTAGAAGTCAACGTAAAGTAACTAACACTGCACAACTTTTTTTTCAATGCCCAAGGGCCAGTGGTGGAAGTTAGGAAGTCTGTACTAGAAGGCTGAGAGATCTGTACTGGAAACCAGGAGACAGTGTCCAAGATGAAGACAAGCATTAAAGCTCTCTCAAAAGAAGACAGCAACCAAAGCTTTTTTGAAGAAAAATCATTGGTAAACAACTTCTTTATGAAAATCACTGCATATGGTCTTCTCCTCCTGGTCTCTTTTTATGCCATTCTGGGAACAATCCTCATGCAGACCTTCCACACAGAGAACCACAGTGATTCAGTTCAGCTGGATGTCCCCACTCTGGATGTTGACCATTAATTAGTCTGCCACAAGTATAGATAACTCCTGGAATGATGCGACAAAAAAATGTTTAACTTCACTGCTGGTGATCCGGAAATGGACATGAGTGGAAGAAAATGCAGTGACACATCTCAGGAACGGACAGATATAGAGGAATTACTGTAAGTATATGGATTTGGCTGGCTTTTGTCATCCATAAGAAGAAAGAAGAATGCTTGGTAGATCTTCTGGTGTTCTGCAGAAAGCAGATTTCACACTTCAGAATACTGCTCTGATCTGTTAATTTAGGGGCCCAGAGATGGGAGATCTAATGGCATTAAAGATAACTGTATTAGAGAATTCAGCAGTGAATCTGTCAGGGCCCGGGCTTTTTTTGTAGATAGTTTTAAACTTACATCTTCAATTTGATTGACTGATATTGGTTTATTTATAGTTTTTATATCTTCTTAGTTCTGCTTTGCTAACTCATGTGTATCTAGGACTCTGTCCATTTCTTCAAGGTTTTCCATTTTATACAGATCTTCAAAGTAGACACTGATGATTTGGATTTCTGCAGGATCTATTGTAATTTCACCCTTTTAATTCTCAATTGCATTCTCAATTGCTTTTCTTTTTTTTTTTTGATAAAGTTGACTAAAGGTTTGTCAATTTTATGTAATCTTTCAAAGACCCAATTCTTTAATTCATTGAGTCTTTGTATTGTTTTCTTAGTCTCCATTGCATTAATTTCTTCTCTGATATTTATAACTTGTTTCTTCGTACAAACTTTAGGCTTGATTTGCTCTTTTTTTTCTAGAAGTTTGAGATTCAACATCAGGTTTCTTATTTGAGCCCATTCTGTTTTCCTGACAGGGTATTACTCATTATCAGTTTCCCTTAGAATACTGCTGCTTTAATTTTGTAACTTGAACAAATATTTCTAAGATGACAATATGTAATCTATTAACTAGTGATTTCCTGTTGCTTATTATTTTTCTGAAATGCTGTATAACTTGTACCCTTTCTCTGCTTTTTTTCTTTTTCTCCTTAAATAAAATTTAAAAAAAAGAATACTGTTTTTTTTGATGTGTTACATTAGCTTTGTCATTTAATTATAGAAGCTAATTTCTTCTTTAATTTCATCTGTGACCCATTGGTTGTTCAGGAGAGTGTTAATTTCCATGTGTTTATGAAGTTCTTGTGGTTTCCTTTGGCATTTGTGGTTTCCAATTTCATTGAATTATGGTCAGATAATACACATGGGATAATTTGAAATTCCTTTTCATTTACTTACCATGTTCCATGAGCTGGTGTTGGTCTATTTTGGGGAATGTTTCATGTGCATCAGAGAAGAATATGCATTCTGATGTGGGGTAGAAAACTCTGCAGACATGTATTAAGTCCATTTTTTCAAAAGTTTGATTAAGTCCTAAGTCCTAATATTTCCTTGTTGATTTTGTTCATTTAATCTGTGACAGGGGTATATTGATCCCCCATTACAATTGTATTAGTGCTTATTTGATTTTTCATATGCATTAGTATTTGTTATATTTATTTGTGTGCATATATATTTATGATTGTTATCTGCCCCTTTTGGTGTGTTCCCTTTACAAGGATATAGTTACATCCTTTGCAGCGTATTGTTGGATCTTGCTTCTTGATCCATCTTTTTTTAAATTTTTTTTTTTTAGGTACAGTTTCTCAATATATTTCATGCTGGCCTTGAACTTACTATGGAGCCCAGACTATCCTTGAACTTATGACAGTCCTCTTGCCTCAGCCTCCTGAATTCTGGATTACAGGTGTGTGCTACCATGTCTAACTTTTAGATGTATGCTGCCAATCCATTTCTTTTGATCAGTGAATTGAGACCATTAACATTGATGGTTAATAACTGATATGTATTGACTTACGCTTGTTATATTATTTTACTATTGTGGGTTCTCTCCTTATTTAATTGCTTAGTTTGCCTGATGGATTCACTATATTGGGGTTCATGGAATTATAACCTTTGTTATATCTTTTTAAAATGTTCTTCACAATACTTTGGAGTGCTTGTATGATGGTTATGAATTTCCTTAAGTGGTTTTTGTCATGGAAGTTTCTTATTTCTCCATGGATTTTGAAAGATAGTTTTGTGGGACACATTAACCTGTGCTAGAAGTTATTTTTAGGGCTTGAAATATTTCTCTCCAAGCTCCCTTTGACTTGAAGGTTTCTGTTGATAAGTCTGCAGTGATGGGCTTCCTTTTATAAGTGATTTGTTTCTTTTCTCTATTTTTTTTTTTTTTTTTGTGGTACTGGGGATTGAACTCAGGGCTTTGCGCATGCTAGGCAAGCACTCTGTCACTGAGCTATATTCCCAGCTGTCTAACAGCTTTTAATATTCTGTTCTTTTGTTGAATTTTTGGAATCTTGATTATTATATATGTTGGTGTAGATTTTTTTTTATTATGCCTAATGAGATTTTATATGCCTCGTTTATTTGTATGTCAAATTCATTTTCCTCTCTTGGGAAGTTTTCTGCCATGACTTCTGTAAATAGGTTTTTGTTTGTTTGTTTTATTCTTTTGCTTTATTTTTTGTCTGTTTTATTCTAAAACCAAACAAAAGAAAACAGAATAAAGCCAATCAAAACAATACAGTGAAAGCAATATAGGAATTCAAAATAAGATAATAGGAAATCAACAATTACTACCATAATACATTTTATCTTTGGAATAGCTGCCCATGTCATCAGATATTGTGAACAGGTTTTTAATGTCATGTGTGGTGACTCCTGCTTTTTCATTGACTCTGCCAATCTTATGTTGTTCTCCTTGCATCATCTTTCAGCTGTTGGATTGATTTTTCATGGTCCTTTGCTATTTTTAAGAAATCTCTCTTTTCATCATTGCTAACCACAATCCTGTCTTATATATCTGATATTCTGTCTTCAAATTGGCTCATATTGCTGCATACACTTTCAATGCAATTTTGAATCTCTTGGATGTCTCTTTAAATGTTTCATGAATTCCATTTCTTTCTTACATTCAGCATTTATGGTTTCCATAATTTTCTTAAACTCCTCTGTTTTTTTAAATCTGTGTCTGCTCTAAAGTCACTATCCATGTCTTTCATTATGGTCATTCTAGAGATATCTGGGAGATTATTTCTGATTTTCTTTTTTTCTAGAGCCTCATCCATGTGCTTTGTTATTTCTGCTGTTACTACTTTTAAAAGTCCAGGTTGGTGGTTTTTGAATTGTCTCTCTTCATTGCCATTTGAGTTTAACTTTGGTGAGCTGAAACTTTACGGTTACATCTTGCTTAAGTGTCCTGTCATTTTGTAAACGTATATATTTTTAGTGTAGCTACTGGGTTGCTGCTTATAAATTGCTTAGGGCAGGTGGCTCTTTTGCTAGTATTCAGAACCCTTAGGAAATGACTACTTCTCAGAGATGTCTCCCAGGCTTTTGGAAGACTGTTGCAAGATCCTACCTCTTCAATTTACTGGGGAAGAGAAGTTGCTATGTAGCCTAGTCCCTGGTTCTTTGGCACTGTGTGTTCTGCTGGTTTGATTTTGGTTCACTGATCTCTTGTGGACTTTTACTTGTTTCTACCTCACTCTAACACTAAAAGTCACAAAATGGAGCCAACCCACAGTGCCTCAGAGTTCTGACCTCAACTGGCCCCTCTCCAAGATAGCAGCTGGCCAATCACCCTCTCCTGGGGGGTGTCTGAGCCCAAACACATAGTTAGTTTACTGGCCACCGCAGTCCTCTACATCCACTGCTCCTATGCTACTGCGCACTACATCCACATTGATAGATTTTTTTTGTGGAGGCCTCTGAGTTCATCAGTAATCACCACGCATCTGCAGGTTCACCACCCACACCCTCTTACCCGCCAGTGCAGTCAGCCAGGGCTCAGGGAGAAAATGCAGCTTGCCATTTTCTTCTATGTTAAGATCCCTCTCTTCACTCTCCCCATGGGCTTTAATTCCTAAATCCTCACTGGGTCCTGGGAACCTTCTTTCTTCCTTACCTTTTCCTCATGTTGCTGCATTTCAGTGTGTGGACATGAAACCTTGGAGACATTATTTCCCTGCTATTCACTGCTCTGGCCTGATTTAGTAACACAGAACGCTACAAAAATCACCTTGGGACAATGGGTCTGCTTTGTAACGAGGAAGTGTGGCTATGGCACAAGGGCAGGGTCCCATCACATGACTGTACCTCCAAGAAGGTGCTGGCCTGGTAGAGAGATAAGCAGTATTGCTGACTGCTTTTGCATTGGATTCTCATATTGTCTGTCTATAATATAGTGGGATTATCGCTAATATTTTAAAGTCTTACAAATAGAATTTCTATGAACTCTTCGATAAATGTCTTTGTGTAGACTTATGTTTTTGTTTCTCTTGGGTAAATTCCTGGAAGTGTAATTACTTAATTGAGTGGGTAGATAAATATTTAACTGTAAGAAACTTTTACAATACTTTCCAGTATCTCTGGATCATTTTGCATTCCTAAGAGCTCCATATAACAGTTGTGGTTGCTTCACAATCTTGCTAGAATTTTTATTGTTAATTTTTAGAAAAACTTAGTCATTCTAGAATATATGTAGCATAGTGGTATTTCACTGTTTTTAATTTGTACTTCTGCAGGTAATAATAATATTCAGCATCATTTCCCTCTGTGTGTGTGTGTGTGTGTGTGTGTGTAGTTTTTGGTAGGGGTACTGAGGAATGACTCCAAAGACTTTGTACAAAGAGACATCTCCAGCTCTTTTCATTTCATTTTTTCTTTTGAAACACAGTTTTGCTAAGCCATTAAATTACCCAGGCCAACCTTGACATTGTCATCTTGTTTCAGCTTTCCACAGTTTTGGCATTATGAATATAGACTATGTACCTGGGCATATTTGTTATTCTGCATACTTCTTGAGGGAAATATCTATATATTTTGATTACTTTAAATAATTTTTTTCCCTATTCGGTGAATTATAAGAATTTCTCACATAGCCTGGATTCAGGTCTTCAATTAGATATCTGTATTGCAAATATTTTCTTTGAGTTTGTGCTTTATTTTTTTGTATTTTAATATTGTGTTTTGAAGACTAAAAGCTTTAAACTTTGATGAAGTCTGATTTTCAATTTTTTAAAAACCTGTACTCTTTGTAAAAACTTTTTTTCTATCTCAATTTTTTGTCCATGTTTTTATTCAGAAATTTTACAGTTTTCATTATACATTTAGATCTGTAGTGCTTGAGAAATTAAGTATTTTTATTATATTGGTAAGGATTTCAATTCATGCTTTGAATATAGTTATCCTAACACCATTTGTTGAAAACAATATCATCTCTTATTGAATTTACCTGACACCTTTGTCAGAAACAAACCATATGTGTAGATTTGGGTTCATTAGAGGTATAACTTTAATATAAAATATATATAAAGTTATAAAAAGGAAATCCTGGGCAGTGGCCACCTTTGGAGTCAGGAGTGGAAAAATGCACAGTGGCTGTTGAGGTGCTAAAGAGCCAGAAAGTCCAGCTGAAGGGTAAAGCGTGGGCCAGCAGTCTGAAAGGTTGCACTGAAAGACTGAGGAGACTACGCTAAAACCCTGATGGGGTGGGGTTGCATTTGCCCAAAACAATGGCAAAGATAACAGCTCCTCTGAAGACGGAAAAAGGAAAAGGAAAAGTGAAGACTTGAAGATTTCATTTTCTTTCTCTCTTTTTTGACACAGGATTTCACTGTGTAGCCCAGGTTGGCCTTGAACATCTTCCATTCGATTGGATAATAAAAAGCCTAAACTCATGTCAATGACTGACTTTATGAAGAGCGAGAACTCAGAGGGCTTCAATTCTGTCACAACTGTGCAATTTAAATCAGAAGCAAAAACAGCCACAGTGAGTACTGAATGAGTTTCTGCTTTTTGGAAGACATTCTTCAGGTATTGAGCATACTGGGATGGGTCATGGTCTCTGCCTTCAAAATACCATCATTTCAAGGGATGGGCCATGAGTGTATCTCATGTAGACAATATAAGGAGTCTTAGTGATTCTTATTTGCGTTGCTACAAAGACAATTACACTAAATGCTCCATAAGTGTTGGTTGCTATTATTACTTTTATGGGAACTGAGTAACTCATATGGACATTACTAATATGATTACACATAGAACATCAAATGCTGCTTACATTAGGAGAAAAAATATAATCTTTCTAGTAAATCTGCTTCCCTATAAAAATATAGTGTTTTATTTGTTGGGCTCCTTGAGAACATTAATTCATAAATAATGAACTGTAGTATTCATGATTCCTCTCTCAGCTTTTAATATAGGCAAATAGCCTTAGTACTCAGTACAACTAGTTGCAATGGTAAAATCAAACTCTAATTGGTTTATTATGATACGGGTTGAGAAGCACAGGCTCAGAAAGTACGGCTAGGGCCTGGGAGCAGAATCCAGGAAATAGAGATACAGACAGTGTCAAAGGGCACTAAGCCCTGGGAAAGACTCCCCCAATTTCCAAGACTGAAAGTGAGAAAAAAAAATTGTGAACCTTTTCTTTATGTCATGTATAAGAAAATCTTCCTCTTTATTTGCTGAGACATTGATTCTTTTAATGGTTAAGTGTTACAATTTAAGTAAGATTCTTAGAAGTATTACAAAACACATTTAGATATTTTCCTATATATAAATGCCCTAAAAATCAATTTACAGTCCTTAAAATGATGGGTTACATTTACCTGTCCTGTTCTTTGCTTGTTTTTGTTTTTAAAATATTTCATTAAGAATAAGGTTAGGGGGCTGGAGATTTAGCTCAGCGGCATAAACGCCTGCCTTGCAATCAGGCAATCGTGAGTTTGATCCCAGGTACCAATAAAAAGGAAAAAGACAAAAAAAAAAAAAAAAAAAAAAAAAAAAAAAGAATAAGGTTTACGACAGTCACCCCTAAAGCACAGGGCTCTACTTCTGGGGGTGAGTGAAAAGCATTGGATTAAAAAGTGCAGCCACAGAGAACTTGGAGCACTATCCCTCTGCCCTGCATGCTACCCCATCTGCAGCTGGCACATAAATGAGAGGTGCTCAGGGGTGCCTGTGCTCCTCAAGTAAGAGGCTGATACTCCTCATTCTGGCCTCCTTCCTCACCATCAGGGAGGACTCTATCTTGCAGCTTATGAGCAGTAAAGGTTACCTCATTTTGGCCCTGGGCTGGTCCCCCAAAGTGCAGATCACAGTGGAAGGGATAGGACAGGGCATTGCCCCCTGGTCACTAGCTGGCTCCCAGAGTGTATGGAGGCTCCATCCACAGCTCTCTCTCCTGGGTCTTTCCATACCCGGGGGTGGCAGAAGCCCCACTGGATTCTGCATATCCTGTCAATGTTTTGAAGGGAATATAGGCAGTAAAGAAGAGTAGAGAAAAAACACCTCTTTTCCTTCGCAGTCACCTGGACCTTCCAGAGACTGGGCAGAGTGGCTCCCCCAAGCCTGGCTTTGTAATGGTCAAGGCTGAAGCTGAGAGAGAGAGACCTCTCCCAGTCCCTGAGGTTGTGGCTTTGCCTGCAAGCAGGTGGAAGGAGTCTCTAATCCATTACTTCCAAGAGAAGCTAGGAGGAAGGGCATTTCTTTTCTTTTTTTTTTTTTTCTTGTGTGTGTTATTAAACAGGGTCTTGCTATGAAGTTCAGGCTGGTTTTGAGGTCACTTTGTAGGCTAGGCTAGCCTTGAACTAGTGGCAAACCTCCGGCCTCAGCCTCCCAAGTGCTGGGATTACAGCTATGTGCCACCACACCTGGATGGAATTTCTAAAATTAGAACCCTGTATCTGCCTTGCTCTCCCCATCCTCTCCCGTGGTGGGGAACGGTTCCTTTACTTCCTTTTTCAGCCACCCCAATGCTCCAAACCTTTCATCTGGGGCATCTCTAAGCACCCGTAAGCTAGTCTATATCTTTTCTATGTACGTCAATGTTAAAAAAAAAAAAAAAAACTGTATAGATTCTCATGGGGTATTACAGAATTTAGGATGTTTGACCTGGAGTTTAGAAGAATGAAAGATTATTGTGAGAATATTTCCTATTTCCACTAAGAGCAAAGCAAAAGGAATAGAATTTAAATTGTATTAAAAGAGGCTGAGTCAACAAGGCTAACTTGAAGATCATTTTGACTGAGTTGACCAGTTTACAGGGTTCCACTTACATGACTGATTGGATCAATTCAGCAAACAATCCATCATCAGTTATTTTGGCAAAGGATATAAATGCAAAGCCTTTGATTAGAAGGAACTACTCTTTTAATTAAGACATGAATTCATGAAAGGTTATAGATTAACCCTAAGGGTCTTTCAAATTAGAGTAGACAGCTATGTAGATTGAATAGCTCAATCAGTCAGTGAATATTTATTTGGTACCTACTTTGTTGCTAACACTGAACTATTCAAAATAAGGGACTATATAAGAGAATCAATGAAAATAATCTGCAATCTGTTAAGGGTTGAATTGTGTCCCCAAAAAGGTTTTTTTTGAGACAAGGTCTTGCTGTGTAGCTCAGACTGGCCTCAAACTCCCAGCAATCCTGCCTCCGCCCCTGAGTGCTGGAGTTACAGGCATGAACTACCACGCTTAGCTCCCAAATGATTTGCTGAAGTCCTAATCCTCTGTGAATGTAATACTAATTGGAAGTAAGGATATGATCACATTATGCAGAGATCGTTAGGGTAGGCTTTAATCTGTTGTGCCTGGGATCCTTAAGAAGGGGAAACAGGGTCACATGAAGACGAAGAGGGAGAATCCCATGTGAAGGTGGGGACAGAGATCGCAGTACTGCATCTGTGCAGCTAAAGAAAGCTATGGATTGGCAGCAACCACCAGAAAGTAGGAGACAGGAATAGAACAGATTCTTTCAAACTCTCAGAAGGAAGCAACCATATTGATGATAAATTGATTTTGAACTTCTAGTCTCTAGAAATGAGATAATGCATTTATGTTATTTAGGGTCACCCAGGTTTTGATACTTTGTTATGGAATCCCTAGGAATTAACACAATATTTAAATTGTTTTTCTTATTTACTGTAAAATATAGAATGATTTATGTCATGAACTCTTTTTAACCAGAAATATAACAGGCTTTACTGAGCTATCATTCACATATTGTACAATCTACTAATTTAATGTATACAGTTAAATTGATTTTAGTATATTTATAGAATTATGCAATTTGTGCCACAGTTTAATTTTAGAATATTTCTAACATTCCATTTATTATTTACTCCCCTGTTCTCCAGTATTTTTCAGTCACTATTCTCTCTTTATTTGCTTCTGTGAATTTATTTTGATACATGGTATTTTGTGATTGTTTTAGTTTGATTAGCATGTTTCCAAGTTTTATCTACTTGATATTATACATTAATACTTCCTTTTTAAATCACCAAGTAATACACTACTATATGTTTATATTTGTTCACTCATTCATCAATGAGTGGATATGTTGTTTATATTCTTTGTCTAACCTAAATAATGCTTTATGAATATTTGCATGAGTTTCTGTATAGACACGTTTCCATTTCTCTCACATATGTATCTAAGAGGAGAACTGCTAGGTTGTATGGTAACGGTAGTTTAACATTTTGGGGAAACATCAAGTTATTTTCTGAAGTGATCACACTATGGTACATTCCCACCAGCAAAGTATGAAGTTCCCAATGTCTTCATATCTTTGCTAATACTTGTTACTATCTTTCCTATTATAATTATACTAGTGAGTATGATCCAATTTACACTTTCTTAATGATGAATTTCTAGTATCTTTTCATGTGCTTCTTGGAGATTTGGTTGTTTTTTTTCTTTTCTTTCTTTTTTTTTTTTTTGAGAAATGCCTATTCAAGTCTTTTGCTTACATTGGACTTAAGCTGTCTTTTTATTGTTGTTGAGTTGTGAGAGTTTTTGTATATTCTGGATTTGCAGAGATTTTTTTTCCAGTCTGTGGCATATCTTTTCACAGTTTTCATGGTATCATTTGACATAGAAGTTTTAAAATTTGATGAAGCCAATTTCTTTTGTTAATTGTATCTTTGATGTCATGTCCAAGACACCTTCCCTCAATTCTGAATGCATGTTGTATAGTAGTAGTTATTATATTTAGTTCTATGATTCATTTTTGTTTTGTTTATTTATGGTCAGAGGTAGTGGTCTTCATTCTTTTTCATATATATATATACATATATATATGTATATATATATATATATATATATATTTGTTCATTCAGCTACCTCAGTACTCTCTGAATTATACTGGTATCTTTGTCAAAAATCAACTTTTGTATATGCAAGGGCTTTTTCTTTTCTTCCCCCTCCAATGCTAGGGATTGAATTCAGAGATTTGTGCACGTTAAGTAACCACTATACAACTGAGCTAGACCCCCAGCCTATCGGTCCCTCTTTAGAGATTCTCAGTCCATTCTACTGATCCGTATGCCTATCCTTACATTAGTGCAACACAGTCTAGGGAACCTGCAGAGGTGCATAAGCAAAGCTTCAATGGGAAAGTTGAAGCAGATCTTGATGGCTCTGACAGCTGGGGCTGTTAACAAATTGTACTCTTTATAGTAGGAAACTTCATGACTGCCACACTCTATTTACAGATAAGCAATATGAGACTTAGAAAAGCACAAGCTGAATGTCATATGCAAATCATAGATTTAAATACAGGTCTGAGTCTAGAGCCTATATTCTGAGCTGTTATGGTAAAATACTGCCTTTTCATCAAGTATATGGCTGGTACATAGCAATTTCTTAATAAATAATCATTTATTAAACAGATAAATTCACTTCTGAATTACACCATCATTTTCTCAGTGGCTCAATCCAGGAACCCGAAGTCTTCTTTAAAATTCCCTTTCTTTACCTCCTTT